GGGGTCTCGCTGCTCTTGGTCTGGCTGCTCCCCTTTGGCCTTTCTGGCATGGTTGTACCTTGTGGAAGGAAGTTCCAGCCAGTGTAGCCCGCGGAATCATTGCAGCACGCAAGCCCGACCACCACGTCAAGGTGGCAGCTTTAAGTTCGGGGGACATGGCTTGTAGCTGCTGAACTGAACTTAGCGCCTCACATTGAGCTAACAGTTACGGGGTTTATGACCCACTAGGTGCGTCACGTAAGCATAACAATGTAACAAGTCGCGCATAGCGATACAACAACTGCGAGTTCCAAATGGCCAAGAAAGAGAGTGCAGTACGACCACCGTGAGATACGTACGTAAGATACGGATGGGTATGCAAAATGGATGCACGCAGGATGGAACGGACTTCAGGCAGGTAGCGCGCCACAAAAACCTAGAGCACAAATAGTGGTCGAGGTGCACGTTGAAGCAAAAGCATGCATGAATAAGGTTAGTTGCGGGAGACTTACCTTACCTTCCGGAGTCAGAGCCCGTCCCGTCTTCTTTCATCCCTTTTTTTGACAGACTGCACAGTGTTTTAGAGCAATTTCTCAGGAGGTAAATTACTAGAATCCAAAGGGTTTGTTCTCTACAAGCCCTCATGTATCGTCTTTTTAACCTCGATGTGGTTAGATACTGAAGAGGATGCATTTACCCACCCCGAATTTTCCAATTCACGTTGAGTATTACTATGCTTGCTCCCATTACACTTTTGAGTCAGACACCTGGTCCGTATTTTAATGAACGCTCATCTCTCATCAGGTTCATTCCAATGGTTTGCTGTTGCCCTAGTGTCAGCTTGTATCCGCCGTCACGATACCCTACTCCGGTTAATATTCACTCAACCAGGGACGGTCTACGCACCTACTTCTCCACTCTTCTGTGTCGCTGTGGCATGGTGCAGTCCTGGTGTCCATGCCCTCTCGTCCCTTTTCCTTGCACGATTATTTCGGCGAGCACACGCAAAAGCAGTGAAGTGTTGGACTAGAGCTCGTCAGTGATACATATCATTAGCCGCGAAGGAGTCTGAACCCCGGACGTCTGACATGCAAAGTGGAATAATTCACTACTTGGTTTTGCCCTCCTCGACTTGTTGTTTTTACTATGACGGTGCCCGCTTGCCATGTATGTAGGTTATTCCCCGAGGAACATGTTTTCCTATTAGGTAGGGGATCCTTACAGCTTAAAACGTGTCGCAGTAAAATTCTAACGGGTCACCGACCCCTTCACTTTTCAAAAGAGCATTATCAGTTAATTACGGAAGAAAGGTTTGATGACAGCACAAACAATCTGAGATTGTTGCTCAAAAGGCAGGGCAAGTTCCGTGAACACCGATCCAGTGCCTCCAACCTCGGCACCAAAAAGCTGTCACTATGACTTAAAAGGGTTCGCTCGAAAGTAGCTTCGGCAGACCCCAACAAGGCGCCTGACAAGGTAACACAATGGCGACTTCCCACAATTCGTTCTTATGGCTTCTAAGGGATAACGTACCTGTGGAGTACTGGGTACTTGTTACGTTACACCGAGAGCACCTTTTTTTAAATGGGCGCCACCCCAGATAGTAGGGACGGTCTGCTTCGCGCTGATAGAGGTAAGTTAGACAAGCACTGACTGAGGATTTCGTCTTCATTTTTAGGCAAAGCGGGTGAGAGTTCGTCAGGCAGCTCAGCGACGCTTGAGGGATAGAACCTATTCGCTTATTTCCGAAACCATCCGGGGTTCCAACTCTTTTGTCCAAGACTGCCTTACTCATCTGGAACCCTCCTGAGAAACTGCAGTTGGTCGGCTGAATTGTTCCTGAAAATGTAGTTCCCGACTATTTAGGCGCTCTTTCTTAGACAGCCATTTTTATCAGTGGTCGTTTCGTTCACCGGAGGCCTTTTTGGGCCTGCTATGCGTATCAGCTGAAACGGTTTCCTTACGCTCCAGTTTCTCATCTCCCTCTCTTCGGTCTTCTTAATAGATCTATACGGATGCTGTTTTTCAATTGAAGTCTGACAGTTTATCGGTTGATGTTATACTGTCGACCATGAGGAATACGCATTTGAGCTCCGAGCAATTCTGGTTTTGCTCTAGATCTGCTTCTGAGATCTTGTTTGTTGCGCCCTTTCACAAGTGGGCGTCCAGCACCTCGCAGGGTTGCGGACGGTACCTTCCAGTAAGGATTAACATCAGAGGACGTGTTGTTTGAAGTGGACTGCACTAATTGACTCACACCCTGTGTAGCGACATGGTCTGTTTGTGTTGGAAATGTGCTCATATGAGAGGGGGACACCAAGTGGCCAAACGGCTCTGGTTGTTTCGAGAGCTGGTAGTGCGCCGAAACATCCTGTGGTAAGTACACAACCGCAGCAGGCGCTCGCCGTTTTCCGTCGGAAGAACTGTCTCTCAGCCTATCAAAGTTACAGTTTGTTGGGTTGTAAGTAGATACAATGAACAGGCAGCGATTATCGGTGCGTTCGTCGGATACGGAGATGTCGCCGGCAACGGGGTAAGGAGCGAGAGAAAAATGAATGTGTTAGGGAGAAAGAGGGGAGGCCTCAGCATTAACCTGTTTTTGCTTACCCACCCTATTGTGTGCGGCGAGTAAGGAGCCCCTGTTGATGGCACCACTCGACGGTCGACGTTGCCCGTTCGAGACGCAGCACGCCAATTTTTAGGGAGAGAATGGGCGCAAGGGTTTCTGTTGACCAATCTGACAAAGGGTGCGAACCTTAAACGCTGTTATGTTGAACAGATTCCTTGATGCTAGTAGTGGTGTTTGGTTTTTATTTTCCTCGATAGCGGGCATAAAACGGGCACTGGACTTATAGAGGTGAAAACAGACAGTATTTTTCTGTGAATAGTAACGAGTTGAAGCTGGTATAATAGAGACGTCAGCCCCTGACCTTATGCTACATGGATAGATGTTATTTTCCGATTGTCAACACCTAAAGAGCGGGTTTGTTCAAAGCACCCCACCTTGAGTCACAAGGTAGTGGGAGAAGGTAGGATTTTGTTTCGAGGCATTTTCCAGAGCCATTGACTCAACAGTCTGATTCACTGGGTTCTAGGATGCTTGTTTGCGCTGGTAGTAAGTCATAGCTATCTGCCTGCTAGTTCAGCCGCGCCCAAAATGTGTCTTCTGACTAATTCTGATTTCAAAAGTATTTGGACTGTGGTGAATAATTCGTCGTGGTCACGATTAAACGTTAGGTGACCGAAGTGTGTGGTTTACAGGGCTGATTTTTCCTAACTTACTCTTTCTCGGTGGATAGTGGCATGCTGCCTTCATAAATATGGATGTTATTTGCCTTAATGCTCTCGCGCTTCCATTGTAAAGAACAATAATACTTTTACTCCGAAAACCCCATGATACGAGGAGCAGCTGTTTTGTTGGGTTGCTCTCCTACGGCTTTCCTGCCACGGCGCCTTTGAAATTTAGGGAGACACCGTGTGTTGCTCTCTCTAAGAGTATAACTCTGTTTGACTTTCACATCATAGCCTCTGTCCAGTGCTGGCAAGCCTTTTCAACGTTGCGCTTGCTGTAATTTGAAGGTGATTGTCTCCAGACCGATGCTTTGATCCCTTTCAAAAACCGGTTTTTGCCCTAATAGGAATCGGAACGACTGAAGAGACTCACTATCTTCCAGGCGCCCGCTACAGCGTGCTACGCTGTCAGACAGTGAGCAGGCTTTTCTGTTCCATCTTGAACTGGACAACTGATTTGGATGATTCCCTTCCTGTTTTTTCCTCGAAAACTTTGTATTCGGTTGAGGCTGAACATATCATATCCCGTCGTGAAATACCAGCCGTGTTCTTCATCGAATCGGGTGCAAGCAACCATCCCAGCTTTTCTTCGAAATCTGTGGATGAATCTCTTTCTGTAATGACCTCTGACTGGCAGCTTTTTTCCAGCCCGAAATAGCAAGTAAAGTGGGACAGTTCGTCTGTCCTTTACAGGCGTCGGTTCTCTCGCTTTGTTCTAACAACGATTTTTGTTCTCGAAGCTGCAGGATTATCACTGAGTGGCACTGTAAAGCACTCTTGTCACAAGTGCTTGTTTGCTATCGAATTCGCTGGGTCCACAGTTGAGTCATAGTTGAGTCGCTCAGGTACGCAAAATTGAGTCGATTTTCAGGTTGTTCAGAGCCATGAAGAAGTGAAATGAGACTCGATTTTTACATACGATCTAAATCCGTATAAGTGTTCAGGACGAATTTAGGATGGGCACAGTTTATGTAACCTTCCATCCTCATGGTTTCTGCCTTTGTTTTATTCTCAAACATTTTATTCAGACAAATGTGGCAATTTACTTTTAAAAAAACAAGACTTGTTTGCCTTGAACACTACCTGGTGAATCTTCTGTCCCATCCTTTATTTTCCCTCTCGCTTCACTTGAGGTTGGCCTTCTTATTTCAGCCGGAGTTATAATCTAGGCCCTCTTTTGTTCACCGTCACTGATTCATGCAAGTTGCTTCCCCCAAGAAGCTGCCGTTATTGTCGTACGATATGGATATCAAAAAGGTTTCCGAGAGTTTTATGGCATGCAAAAAGGAAGATGACGTCTTGCTACGGCCATTTTGCGATGCCTATACGGAAGTGGCCAAGTATGTGCCCACAATTCCTCTAACTTTTCTGGTAACAGGTTACTAGCTTATTTTGGAAAACTGTTTTACTTCGTTACGCGAGACGTAGAGCATAAGCTGGGGATTTTGTATGAACACCACAATCGTGAGCCACAAAAGTACCGAAGCATTCGGAATATGACAGCATATGAGGCCAGTCGAGGAATCACGGGTGATGCACACAGCGGAAAGCTTAACGGGAGTCGGACTCTGCTTCGATTAAACAGAGCTTTGATATTCGTTATTGAATTGATGGAAGCTTTGTGCACTGGTAAGCTGTGAGTGAGAGGCCCACCATAGATACTCGTGTTTATTTCCATCCCGAGTTTTCAAGGTTTTCAACTTTCACATTATCTTACTTCGGCTCGCACTCATATCTTCATTCCCGAAACCATTTCCCTGGGTTATGGGACTTCGGACTGACTAGATACAACATTAGTTTGCTGAGCTGCACCTGGTCGCACATGCGCTTCTACATTTTGGATATGGGTTACATTAATTGTAAGCCATGTATCTAGCCTCCTTTGTTATAGCTGTTACCGTCATTTTCTCCCCAATACTAAGAGGGTGAAGGATGGGAATTATCAGGCTATATATGCGACAGCATGCATACATCCAGTAAGAAATCCGTTGGTGGAAAGCGGTAGCTCGGGGATAAAAACTTTCAAGAATTTCTAGGCAATAGTTCTGATTCAGGAGCGTCGTTGACTAAGTGACTGGTCCATGTCTTCCAGAGTGATATTGTAAATCATTCATTCATTCATCTTTCGGCTGTAGCACCCATCCGGTGCCTAACTGCCTCGAAGGAAGCATGAGGGCTGGAATACTGCCAGGTTGCCCGCCCCTGGACAGGGGAAGTTGAGAGGGGTCAGTAAATCACACTCAAACCACTGAGCCATCTCGCCCCCGAATGGTATTGTACCGTTCTTGGGTTCTCATCTGAGAGATTTCTCAAATGTTCTGGACCACATAGCGTGTATGAAAAGGTTATACTGAACACAAAGAACCTAGGAGCGCTGGTCTTACCTTCTCAGTTCGGGAAATGATTTAATCTTTCGCCAGTTTGCTGGGACTCATGCAGCTGCCCAGAGAGACGAGTTACCCAGTACGGTTGAAATACAGACGAAAACTAAGAGACCGATGCGCCTCCAAACACGTCTGTTATGTGGCATCAGAAACGAGACAGCTATGCCTTATTTTCCGCGTCCTCGGGCTAGACCCACCCCGTGTGGCCGAGCAGGTCACACTTGCCGTCGGTCCTGGGTTGGGTCCCTCAATATGACATCTTTCAAAAGGATACTTTAGATAGATTCTGGAAAGGCCGCACTGTTTTTATCAACCAGCAGTGGCATTTCTTCTTGACTTGAAAAAGTTGACTCCGACTCCGTCGGCCGTCGGGTGCTATGGTAGTGTCAATGTAACATAGATACCCCGTTACTTCTTGGACTTTCCCAGAGCGCTGTGCGCCAACCTCCTTGCAGGCGCTGAAACCCACAAAAAGCTCTAGCCTGAATTAATATCCTATAGTGTCAGACAAATCCGTCCTTTTTCATCCATTCAACCTCGTCGTCGAAATTGTCGTGGAAGACTCACTTCTAGTGTCTGTTGCTTGTGGGTCGAAATGCTCCTTGGACTGTCGCTTCACAGATATCTACTAGCTGTCATCCCAGAAAAGTGAAAATATTAGTTTAAATATTCATAGTGTTAATAAATAGAGTCATTCAGATATGACATTTTTTGTTGTCCAGCGTCTATGCCATCCTAAGGAAGCACGATGTCTGAGGTACTGTCAGGCCGCCCAAGCCTAGAAAAGGACCATCGAGATCACACAGGTTCGGTTAGAACCACAGTCCTTTCGGTCGGTAAGTTCGCATCCTAGTCACTGAGTTATCTCGAACGTTGCTAGTGTACAAAACTTAATCATATTTTACGCTGCGTATCCATCGCCAGATGACATGGCACGAAAATCAAAAGACACTTTCTGCAGCTCTTTGGCCATGGGGTCGACCAGTAGTCTGAAAACACTGCATGTCAATTTAGATCGAGATGGACGCTTTGGGATAATATTTCTGTTTACGTGTGACGAAACTCCAGAAACAGTGCACCCTTTCAAAGGAGGCATGACGAACGACAGCCGATGAGCAGCCATCGGATCGATCCATAGGAATGAAGAGTGTAAGAGATTCTGATGCCAAAAGAGCTGACAGACGATGTTGGGTTGTATGTCGTTTTATGTTGCAATAAGGCAAGCTCAAAGAAAGGTATAAGACGTGTACGCACCCCGTTGTCCGATTCACTGACAACTGTCGTTTATCAGGTTGAAGGACCATTGCAACATTTGCATATTACTTCATCATCATCATTATCGACAACATGACATCAGTGTTCAGCACCGATGCTTCACTGCCGTAGATGGGTCGCGTACTCCACTTGAATGTACATCCGCAGATATACGAATACACTGTAACGTTAGTCGGTAGCAAACACGATGCAGTGGAATGATTGACAATTTGCCCAACGGCAGTTGGCCCTGACAACCATGGGGTAAGTGAAGTTTCACTGTGGTGCCGTAGCAGCCATCTGACATTTTTTGTTCAGCTTAATGTGCAACTCAATAAATAGAAAAATAATCGTTCAATTGTGGCAGCCTTTCGGTGTCTAACTGCCATGCCACCCGAAGGAGGCACGAGGGTTGGGATACTGCCAGGTCACCCAAACCTAGACAGGGGAAGTCGAGAGGCAGACGTCGGGTTCGAACCACGGACCTAGCGGTCAGTAAATTCGCACTCTAAACACTGTTGTGACTCAACACAATTAAGAATAGGAAAACTGTGTTTCACACAGATTTGGTAATCTCCAAGAGATCCAATCACGGAGAAGGGTCTATTTTTGTCGGGGAGCGCTGTTGGAAACCCTTCTTGATGGTGGTCCACCTTTGTATCAGGACGGAATTTTTATGATTCTCCACAGTATGCTGAGATACGCGGCCTGGTGCAACTAGACATCTTTAAGGCCAGTATTTCGTTTGCTGTTATGAGGTCTCAAAAGGAGTTGCGGTGACGGTGGACTGCAAAAAAAGGTTGGATAAATTTGATCCATAAAGCCGTTTTTCTTTGGTTTGGCACACAAATTCATTGCCCTACTGTTGCTTCTGCTTAATGTCAATCCCCACCATATCGTGGTCTTGGGGTGACCTTCTAGACAAGCTAATTGGTTTGACTGACCTGTCACTCAGTAAATCTGCTGAGAAGAGCTATATCATCTGCATAGATAAGAGGACAGTTTTCAATCAGAACTTCTGTGGTTTATGCTTTGTATCCCAGCTGGGCCTCGAAAACTTTCCACGGATTTCCAGTTCTGTCCGCACTTAGAAATCAGAAAACTACGTGCGACCCATACGGAATAAAACGCGTTTTTCCGCTACAAGTGACTAGCGTTTGTAACTGTTGCCTCACTTGTTGTGATTGTCGCACTACTCTAGCGACTTGTCCAGCCTCTGAGCCGGGGTAAACCGGTCAACACTTCGACTAACGCTTCTAGGTCAAAGTTGAAAGAATAAAATTTCTGATGCAGAACAATTCTGGACATGTCGGTTGCCTCCCAAAGGATGAAGTAACTTTGGAAGTTTTGTTAAAAGCTATCAAAAATGTTAATACAGAATCCGAAAATGCGCTGCTCATATGAGCAGATAGTTTTTGCGCACTTTGATTACAGGTAGTTGGTTAACTACCCTTTTCCAAATGATTGAATTCGTGCTTTTCGAAGATGTTCACTGTTTGGAGATATTGATAACTGCTCGGTCGTTTTTTAATCTTATGAACTTGACCGAGTCTTCGCTCCACAAAGCTTACAACCAAACTGGGATCTGTGCTAATTAGGATTTACTTCGTTATCTTGTCTGTCTATTGATCTTTTTCATCCGTTTTTCTTCATTTTGCTAGCTACCGAAGACGAGTCTCTCCGATCAATGACCAAAGCGATCTACGACACGCGCCTTGCACCATTTCATCCATGGCCTGTTCGAAAGGCGGTTAGTGTGGCCGTATACGCACTGCCTACTCGGGAACAGCTAGTCAGTCATATATGTGAAAATCAACCTGTGGAAAACAACCTTAATACCAGGGAGGCATGCCGTGATGCCATACTGCAAGACGCACTGCCGGCAATGCGAGCCGTGTATGATATCAACACAAAGTGCCTCGAATCGCGTAACATGCTGCATTTGCCATGACTCGTTCAGTTTTGACTATCAGATCCAACTGTGATTATTCTTCGTTATTCTTGGTAACCGAAAACCATTGATGTGCCCAGTGACTTCTTTATATGGTTTGTTTTCTTCTTATGCGCTCAACTTGTCGGGTTATGCAGTCATTTTTATGCAACCCTTTTGTGTGTATGAGATTCTATTATCTTTCTGTTCACTGCTAACTTGTTTATGGCCCTCCCGGTTCTGTTTTGCCTCCAAGGGTTTTTTTCTGATACTTTGGTAGAAGATGATCTTGCTCCATCTCAGTACTGACTTACTGTATTTAAACGTTGTACCCATCTCGTTACGGCGACCAGACTCAAAGGCTAGTCTGAAGGTTGGGGTTGTCTGGTTCTGTCCATTACACTTCCGGGAGGAAGTTACGGAGCGGCCTCTGCTGAGAACGGTAGCGTCAAATGATGATTGCCTCAGACCATTGAGCAAACTGGCCTGGAAAGTCATTTCCTTTAACCTTCTTCTACTTACATGAGCCGTGGGCCACCGTTGCCAATCAGCGGTGGAAAGCTAGGCCAACACATGTCAATCCACTATTGCTGCCACTTGGCGTTATCATCAACTGTCCAACTATTGCCTAGGAATCATGCAATTGGTATTACTTTAACCGCCCGTTGTACCCTAATCAGAGTTGAATTGCGGAAGAATCACCATGCTTTTGACTCTTGGGATATGTAACATGGTCTCAATGGATGCACAGTTTGCTCATTTTCGCCATAACTCACTGATTACACGGATCACAAATGCGTGTGACCTTTTTACAGAACATTTCTCCTGAAGTCACTGCGCTAGCAAATGTCAGTTTGTATTGTTCCAAGTAACCCCTTTGGCAATATGTCCATCATTGTAGTAGATTATTCGAAACCCGAAACGGGATTCAGTAAACGTCAGTCGGACAGATAGGAAACAGACCATCTGTACTCTCGTCGTGTAACAATATTCATAGTTATTCCCTTAAAGGTACCAATAAAGTGTACGGGAATAACTTACATCGCTTTTTGGTCTAATGATTTGCAATAGCGACCAACAACTGAGTTAGTAAATCAGTATTTTCCTGTTTGTGACGCTGAACACTTGTTCAAAACCCCCCCATCGTCCACCTCTCAGAGTCAGCTCTTTAGCCTAGGGGTACCACTGTTTGCCAAGCAATCCGATATAAATCGTTCCGTCCTGCTGAGTCAGTAAAATAAAAAGCATGACAGTCTAATGTATACCTGCTACAACCTCAATCAGTTGACATGGAACAAAGACAACAAGGCGAATCAACCTCCTTGGATTGTACCTATATGAAACAAAAAATGAACACTGGTCATCGCTCACCCAACGGCCCTCAGTAGAGTGAAATACATTAATGAACAATCCTTGATGGTGATTTGATTGTTTTGTTATCGGGGTGTGTGACGAGTTTTGTTTCGGATGGCCGCTTCGATATATTTTGAGGATTCGAAATCCGGATTCTATTGAGCCAGCGAGATCGCCTTTCCAATTTGATTAATTCATAACTGGCATACCGTCATCCGACAACAGATCACAAATGCCGGGTAACCGTTCCGTGCTGCTATAAAAACCTTGGATTATGGTTGGTATGCGAGCAGCCAGATTACTGTTGTCAACCAACCCTCTGATCCATGACGGAAAATGATTGAATTTTGTGACCAAAGTTCGCAAAATTAGCTTTCATTCCATCTGTGTGCACAGTTCTCCTAGGCTTGAGCAATTCTGTTGTGGACTTCGCACGCTTCAGATACTTACAAAAGCCTCTTACGAGCATATTTGAACGATTATTTAATAAGTCTGTTCACTCGGCTCATCGATTCGCTGTAAAACCCTGTGCTAGTGTAAATACCTTTTCATGTGCACACACTTGGTGGCATTCTTATACTGGATTATTCTGGTAGTTTTGATCAATAGTGTGTCAACAACCTAATGCAGGTGCCTGTGCCCTACAGAATTCACCTGTTCAGTTTTGGTGACACTCAAAAAGGCATAGCACTGGGCCTCAAAGATCGCGTATATTAGGCCACATTAATAGCTGTATTGTTGGATGATTACAAGATCTGGCATCCGCAGGTAGATGATCTGAGGCATCTTCGGCTACCGATGTTTCAGAAATGTTGCTAGTGTCGGATAGAATTTCACGAATTCATGGCGAGGTAACTAGAAAACCTGTGCTAGGTTGTACAACAGGTACTTTAGTCGTCGGAAACATCCTGTATCATCAGCTACGATGGCTCAGCCACCGCAAGTCGAGTCATCTACTAATGTTGCCCTACGTGCCTCATTCAGAATTGCGCAAACTGCGGGGTGGACAACATGTGGCTTGACAAGAGGGTGTTAAAGGGACTACGAAGAGTTTGGAGGTTGTTAGAGCGGCCCACCTTCCAGGTTGGGGTCCCTGTGACCCTTCCTGCGCTTGGCTGTAGATTCAAGAAATTGTGGGGTTCGTGATATCAGTTTCTTTCCAGGTTGTCTCTGAGTGTTTAGTGGTATGGACACCCCCAAAATTCAGTGGGTTCTTTTCACTTTGAATTTATACTGGGATGGGATTGCCAACTCTGCACATTGCTGGGAGTTGTGTCTTAAGCATGGTGCCCAAGCACTAGATGTCAGTCGGAACAGTGGCACTGCTGAAGTCTCGGAGAAACATCCCCGCATGTTCGGAACACAACTTGGTCCAAGTTAGTATCAGACGTCAAGTGTAAGTGAGCGTGCGCGCTGACCGTGAAGTCTGGTGGATACGGAGGGTCCAGGAAAAGACCCAGAAAGCAGAGAACGTCCGATTATTTCAGTTACTCCGTGATACCGGTTCCAGAAAACTACCTGTGAACCGAATACTTCGAACAAAAATTATTATAACCACCAGTTGCCATTCATCTGGAGGCTACAACTGATGCAGAGTCCTGGACGGCAAACCTGAAACCTCCTACGGAGTCGGAGGTTTACGGCTGCTTATGTTCTTTTAAGCACAACCGAGCTTGTCGTCTTGATGACCTCCACAATTTTAGTATTCCTGGATTTCCAAGAAGCATTATACTCAGTTGACCGGTCTATCCTCCTTAAGACACCTGGCCATCAAGGCATACCCCGGAAGTTTGTGACGGTATTAATTTCTCTGTATTTTCAGACTTCCGGGCGTGTGAGCGTATACGGGAGCTCTCCAAAGGCTTCCGTACGCAGTGTGGTGTTCGTCAGGGGCGCTCGCTCTCCATTCCTATTTAGTTTTCTGATCAACGAAATAATGAGAGGAACGCTGGAAATCTACAGAACCCTGGTGTTGAAATAGCAGCTGAGAAAAATCTTGTCGATCCGGAATATGCGGACAATATCGTTCTTGTCTGCGAAGAGCAGAAGGCGCAGTTATTTTGGATGAACTGACGCAGTGGCATGCACTTTACACCCCATAAAGTATAAGGTCATGCTCCTGGACACAGTCAGTGAACACGCCACTTACAATCCAGGGTGGGGCATTTTAATTATCTTGGAATGTGTATTGGCTTCGATTGTATTGTAACAGATGAGGTCAATGCACGAATCTGTAAGACTGAGATCGCCTTTGCTACCTATGGTGACAGAGCGGTTTGTCCCAAGGGGCACATGTATAAGACTACAGTACGGACTGTGTTGTTGTATGGCCTGTTCGAGTAGCGGAAATTAGACATTTTCAGGTGTTCAACAAACGTTGTCTCAGAACCACAGATCTTGGTTGGTTCCGGTCAGTCCGTAACGGGACAATTAGAAAGCGAGTTTTCGGTTATGCAACGCGGACTTCCACTGAAGAATGTCTAGCACCAGTAGCTCCGTTGGTTATACTGTGTGTTGCGCATGCCGAATTATTTACGTAATAGTGCGGTTTTCCGTGCCCAGTTCAGAGTGGCAGAAGCAGAAAGGTGGCCAGAGGTTGGGCAGAGGGGTATGAAGAATATTATGAAAAGCCTGGATGCTGTCGCCTTCCAGGATAGGGACAGTGTGATCCTTACTGCGCCTGGTTTGAGGCGCTACAAGATGTGGCTTCTAATCGATATCAATGGCGTTCTCGTTGTCAGTTTCTATTCAGACTGTCCGGGTGAGTTTCTGGAGGTGTGAACCTCGGAATTATTGTGGTAAGCTAGAACCAAGTCCCTTCTCCGTCCACTTTCATCCTTTTCTTCGCAATTAGGCTTTCAAATAGATCAGGGTTTTCACGACGGCGAAGCATCACTGTTGAACACTGAGGTGCTGCCGGTGATGATAATAACCGAGGTTTTAATTGTATTTGGAAAACTTTGTGGTTGTGCGGAAGTGAAGCACCAGTGTCAACACCAATGGTTATAAGCGTTAGATTATACCTATTCAAAATCCAGAGAAATCCCTGGAATTGGACAAGTGAATCGGTGCAGGATTAAATTAACACGCATTTTAACCGGAATTTGGTATTCTCCATCGAAAAGAAAATGGACGCCTGGTTGTCGACAGTCCTCAGAGCAAAATGGACCGGATTCTGCTGGCTACGACTTTGTGTTTGATGGTAGCTAATCTGAGAGGTTTTTCTTGATATCTGGGTTGAACTCATTACCACAGAAGCGTGACCCATTCGATGGGATTCTGTTCAAAGCCTCCCTTGGTTTTACTGTGCATCCACTTCTAGTGTTTCTACTTCCCACAGTTTCTCTACGATATGATTTCAAGCCTGGCGTAGAAGATGATGTCGGTGAATAGTGGTTCATTTATCCGCTGAGCTTGTTTATCTTTTTGTGAGCGCCTCCTCGACTGGTATTTGGATGTATGGCCCGTACACCAAGATGAAATTATCACTCACAACGCACTGAGGATGTTACCCCATTATTGAAAAAGTGCTCAAAGCTCAGTGAACAACCCACTTGTAGACGGTGTTAATCCTCTGCGGTCCAACTATGGTCGCCATTTTATATACAGACCACTCTTGACACTTCTGATCGTCATGCAAGAGCGTACCGTAGAAACTCGCGAACCAGTTGAAAACCCCGAATGAATGAGTAGAGATCTACTGAGAGTTTCTGCATGTCGGTGTCAAAGTAGGTTGCCATTTTTCTGGCGCGGTTTAACTCTGCTCTTGACATACTGACGAAGCACTCCACGCCTCGTTTTGAGGCCCACAGAGTCAAAGTGTCGCTTGAGCACGACAGTGATGTCTTCCTTCCTAAGATAAAAACCGCTAAATAACCCATATAAAACAGCTGGATGGTTTGGGATGCACTTCATAGTCACCAGGTTGATGGAGCTACTGCATACTTTGAATGTTTGCCTCCAAA